GCAGATGCTCAACACAGGAGCTGCCCCCTGGTGGTCAGTGTGCTCCTACAGGGAGAGTGCCACTCAGCCAGAAGCCAGGCTCATGGCTGGCAAGCACAGCTGCAGTGGTGGGAGCCTCTCTCACCTCTGCGGCAGCGCTAAGGATGTCCAACTGGGAGAGGGCGCAGGCCGGGCTGAGGGACCCCCCTTCCCCTCCAGTGCACAAATTTCGTGCACTGGGCTTCTAGTTTGGAAATAAAATCTTTGCAGGTGCAATCAAATTAAGGTGAGATCATACTGAACTAGTGTGGGTCCTCTTCCAATTACTGGCATTCTTGTAAGAGGGAAATCTGGACACACAAAAAGATATACATAGGAAAAACACCATGTAAAGGTAGAGACAGAGATAGGCAGTACTGAAGCTGCAAGCCAGCAAACACCAGAAGCTAGGAGAGAGGTACGGAACAGACACTCACTCCCTCAGCCCCCAAAAGGAACAAACCCTGACAACACTTTGATTTCAGACTTCTGGCCTCCAGAACCATGAGAGAATAAATTTGTTGTTTTAAGCCATCCAATTTGTGGTAATGTGTTGTGGCAGCCCTTGAAAGTCAGTACAACTCTGAAAAATAAAAATCATGGTAAAGGGATACAGAATAACAAAGGAGTGTGGTAGTGGCTTTTTCATCATACAAGGAAGGTCTTTCTGTGGAGGATAAATTTGAACAGTGTGCCGGAGAAGGCCCATGAGCCAGATGGAGGGATGGGGTAGAGATAATTAGAGAGAGAAGTAACAGCAAGTACAGGGGAAGGGGAAGCCACAAGCTGGGAGTGTGTGAGGAACAAGAAGCCCATCCCCCTGGCCACTGTGTGGCTCAGAACATCATCCTGAATACCAAAAGCTGGTGGGGATGGCGGGTTCAATTCCCAGTCAGGGCACATACCTAGGTTGCAAGTTTGATCCCAGTCAGGGTGCGTGTGGGAGGCAATAGATTTGTTTCTCTCTCACATCAATATTGGTCCCAGTCAGGGGGCGTGTGGGAGGCAATAGATTTGTTTCTCTCTCACATCAATTTTTCTCTCTCCCTCCTCTCTCTCTCTCCCTTCCTCTCTCTAAAATCAATGGGGGTTGGGAGGGAAGAACAAGCCCATGTAATTGGTGAGTAGCAAGAAGAGGTTGGTCCAATGGAACAAGAAGCCCATCCCCCTGGCCACTGTGTGGCTCAGAACATCATCCTGAATACCAAAAGCTGGTGGGGTTGCTACTTGTGGAGCCCTGTGAGAGCTGTAGTAAGGGGTTTGGCTTCTATCTTAACGTGATAGAACTACACTCATGAAAATGCTGAAATGCAAAGGTCCTAATGGTCCCCAATGGCAAAATCCACTAACCTTTTGTCTTTGTTCATGCTCTTGGACTTCCAAAGCACACAGCTCATTACTGCCTCCTCTCTACGGAAATTCTCATTCGTGGGCTCTAATAAAACTCCAGGTTCTTCTACCCCACTGATCATTTTATTGGTCTATTTCTCTTCTTAAACCCCCTAAAAATAAATTTCCTTAAGGTTTAATCTTTGGTCTTCTGTTTTTTGGGTTTTTTTTTGGTCTTCAGAAAATTCTCCCATTCTTGGGGTTTGAGGACCTTGCCCACATCATTACCTCCAGCACTAATAACCTTTGTCCCCAGTTTCAGCCCATGCACTTACAACTCAAAGAATATTTGGATAACACCTTAAACCTAACATACTGAGATAATCTTCCCTCTACACAAGCTAACTTGTCTTTCATGTATAAGATCCCTGTTTCTATCCATTGTATATTATTTCTCCAGTCACCAATATTTGAAGATTTCGAGTGAGTCAGTATCAATTTCTCATTCTGTTCCACCCCTCCTATCAAATCATACATCTAATTCTTCCTTCAAAATGTCTCTCCCTTTTCATTTCTTCTACCATAATCCCGCTCAGTCCTTTCCCACCTCATTTTTTAACTGCAAATTTTGTGGTATCCTGTGTTCTTCCTGTTTAATTTATTCTTCCATATTATTCAACAGTTTTTATTCATATATATAAAGCCTAGTTCTGATTATGCTCCTCTCTTCTTCTTCCCTCTTGGCTAGAGAATTAAATCCAAACTACCTATCTAAGTATTCAAAACCCTTTTAAGACGGTTGCACCTACCCTGCTGACTCAGTCTTCTGTAATCATGTCTTAATTACCATTCTCTCCACTGCAACTTCCTCCCTCTTCCTCCCTGACTGACTGCATCTGTTTTCACCTTAAGATCCAGTTTCAGTCCCTCAACATCCACAAGAGTTATTTCATCCCACCTTGCTCTTGGAAAGATCCTCCCGCATTTTTATTTTTTATTTTTTTGGGGGGGGAGAAAAAAGGGAAGCCCAGTCAGATTGGGGGGCCGTGGGGGTCCCTGCCCTGCGGTGCCGGGTCCCAGGCCCCGCTCCAGGCCCCGCTCACCGTTGCTGCAGGTGTGGTTGGCGTCGCACGAGGCCCCCAGCTGAGTGAGACCCGCCTTGCAGCTCAGGCAGTTCTCGTGGCACCTGACTAGGAATCGAACCAGGACCTCCTGGTTCAGACATCAATGCTCTAACCACTGAACACACCAGCCAGGGCTGCAATATATATATTTTTTTCCTGCCCTGCCGCCCCGCTTCCTTCCAGAATAAGAAGTGAATGGTCCTCAGAGAGGAGCATTCAAGACACTGGGCCAAAAGAGGTTTCTTCAAGCACTGCTTAGGTTTTACAACCCCATCATGGCTGTTGTGTTATTCAGCCCTCCTCCCCCGCCCCATGCTTGTCTCCAAGACCTGAAACTGACAGCCACCATCAGGCGGTCAGTGTAGTGGCAGTGGGGCTGCTGTAGCACTGGAATGGAACCCGTTAGCCACAGCACGGCCAACAGGTCACGAACAGTGCTTCCTCCTGCATTTTTAAAACTTGAGGTGATACATATTGGTACACAACTTAATTCTGGAAGAAATATAGACATGCCCCTTCTGGGAAATGGGCCTTTTCCAAAGGGAAGGAGTTTCATTTATGTTTTTTGTTTGTTTCTTCAACTGTATTAACAGGAGAGAATTTACCCACCCCCCTACACACACACACTGCCTTCCCTCAAATTCGTGAGAACCCAGATCATGACTTTCTTCACACATCTAGCTCAGGGACTTGCACATAGGATAGCCCTGAACAGAGTGGAAAAATTCCAACTAGGTTAGGAAAATACTAAAAAAAGGCTGCATCCCCACCAAAAGCTTTAGGAGGATAGGGAAGAAGAGCACACCTATCCTTGTATGAAGGCTTATTAGTACATGCCACAATAAGGGTTTTCATAATTATCTCTTATAATGCTGTCTCATGGGTCTCCAATTTTCCCTGGCTGACTCTGGAGGTTAGTCAAGTTCTCAAGAGAATTTTTGAAGACTAAATGGATGTTTCTGGGGGGGGGGGGGGGGGGGGGGGGGGGGAGTGACCTCGTGTTAATGGTGGGAGTGATATTGGTGGCTGGCAGAGCTAAACCCAGTTATTATCCACTTTTTCTGTCCTCACTAAGTGTGGCTGCCTGCACTTTCCTTAATTGAACCTTTCTACCAACTTCCTTTGCTCTCTTTCAAGAGTGAACAAACAAAACAAAAAAAGGAGGGTGAGGGAAGAATTATTTATTTATTTATCTATCTATCTATTTATTTATTTTTGGAAGAGAAGAAAACCCTTATCAACAACCCCTTTCCCCAAGATACAGGATAAAATGCCTACAGTGAAGAAAAGTCTGCGGCAATGATTCGTGCCCGAATCAATCGCACAGCCATCGGATTTGAAAACCTACCATCAGTCAGAGCATAAATTCCTCTCTCACTCATGGCAAACAGTCCCAGGAAGAGGAGGCGATTTTAAACGATTTCGAAGGGGTGAGAGGTAAAGCCATCTCTCAACAACCCTCAACCCAGAGGCGCTTCCATGAGCCTCCACCCCTGCCTTTCCCACCTCCTCCACGTGCCGCGTGAACGCCTTTCCTCCCTCCCCATCTCCCCCGAGTCCTCAGTGGTTTCTTGTTACCTGCTCACGGGGATCGAGGCTCGGGCAGCAGCGTGCGGCCGAAGCGCCGGCCAGCAAAGAGCCGACGCGGACGAGGCGCCCCTCG